ACCACCACCATCATCACCACCATCATCACCGCCACCACCATCATCACCATCACCACCATCACCACCATCATCACCACCATCATCACCATCACCACCACCACCATCACCACCACCACCATCACCACCACCACCACCACCATCATCACCACCATCAACACCATCATCATCATCCTCACCTTCATCAAACAAGCCTGTGATCTAACCGGATATTCAAGACCAAGGTTGCTGCCCATCTTAATTCATGAGCTGTGGCCCTGCTTGTGTCACAGTCTCTGTTTAGGATCTGTGTTTTGCACAGCTTTTCTGCTCTCAGTCCTTAGATATTTCCAGCCAGAGTTCCTGATGTGTTTTTATAAATTTTATAAAATTCCAAGCAATTAGAAGCTTCATCATTTATGAATTTCCAAGGAAATGGAAACTTGGCTCTTATCTATTACCATAGGTGGCTCCTGGAAGTTAATTTTTGGCCTCAGTGAGCCCAGGTACCAGGTGTCTCCAGAAAACCCACTACCACCCAATAGAGCCAACGGCCCTCCTTTGGGCTCCAAAGCACAGGTTGTCACCTCCACCTTATCCTTTACCACATTATAAGTCTTTGTGTAAAGTGTCGGCCTCCGCCAGGCACTAAGTGTGAGCTCGTCATGGTAGGTGCCTACCTCACCCTTCTGTGAGTCCCCGACACCTGGCACAGAGGCTGACATCCAGCAGGCACTTAGTGATCAAGGACAGCCATTCAGATGCTGTTTGTAGCACTTTGTGTTTGCCAGGCTCTGGCTGGGAATTCCAAAGGAACACAAACGTGATGCCTGCCCTCGTGGGGTTTCCAGCCCCTTGGGAAGCAGACAGACACTGATCACAGAGCTACCTGAGTGCAGCGTGAAGCAGACGGCTCACTGGAGACTACCCAGGGGCCCTGCTTAGACAGGATGCAGAAAGGCTGTGTCATCAAGTGGCACTGAAGCCCGGCACTGAAGCCCAGCCCTGAAGGGTGAGCAGGAGTTCACTGCTGAGGAGAGGGAGGAAGAGGGCCCAGGCAGAGGGAAATGCTCCATAGGAAGCTGGTGGAGCTGAGCTGTTTTACTCTGAGATGCACTGAGACACTGTCAGATTTAAGACAGGGAATGACATGATTGGTTTTTGTGTTTTTTTTTAATGGAGCTACTGGGGATTGAACAAGTACCTCGTGCATGCTCAGCATGCATTCTACCAACTGAGCTATACCCCCACTCTATTCCAGAAACTTTCCTACAGAAGGTTACATAGCACGTGTTCATTTCCATCCACAGGGATAGGACCCATCCATCTCAATGAAATTGAGTGCACCGGAAATGAGAAATCCATCATAGACTGCAAGTTCAATGCCGAGTCTCAGGGCTGCAACCACGAGGAAGATGCTGGTGTGAGGTGTAACATCCCCGCCATGGGCTTCCAGAAAAAGGTGAGGAGAACTGGATGCCCAGAGGGGACCGTGTTCTGTTTTGGTCGGTGAGGCCCCAGAAAGTATAGACCAGGTGACCTCAGGCTGGAGCTTTCTAACCGATGTATTGGGGTGCTCTGACGGTGAGCTCAGAAAGTTGTCGGTAACTATCACCTCACCTTGGTGACTGTGTCAAATGAGAGGGCTGTCCTTACTAGGATGCTGGGCATCCACTGTGCACCACGCCCTGCCCTGGGGCTGGACAAACAGTGTGATCGCAAGGCAGTCCTTTCTGTAAGGGATTCAAGGTCAACACCACCTGTGAGACACTTGGCAAAGGCCCTTTCCAGGAACCCAGAGGAACTACATTACAGCAGGTCTGCAAATCACACAGATGTAAGTACAATACAGACAGTATTTGGGGACAGAGACTATATTTTGGTTTCCAGAGGGAACAGAAAGGGAACCTTAACAATATGTCTGAGACACACCCCTCCCTTCCTGAGACAGGATCTCTAAAAACCTGCATTGTCTCCTGGAGTGCGTGGCCCTTCCTACAAGGGTAGCCAACAAGATGAACTTCTCTTTGCTGGGAGTTCTATCCAATCCTACAAAAAGGCCCAGTAAATCCTATGTAACGCTCTGCACTGACCCATGAATTCGGCACGGGGTTGGCACATTGGAAGAGTTTCTTGAGGGATTATTTAAAATATGAGCAAATGCAGATTCCTCAGGGTGCAGGACGGTTCCTCAGCCAGGTTCGTGCTTGGACATATTCTTGACCTTGGCCCCAGCCTGCCAAAGGCACTACTGAACTGAGCAACCGCAATTCATGCGGTTCACCGCCCAGGGGCCAAACGTGTGAAGCCAACGTCGCTCAGCCAAGCCGTGTTTGCTTGTGGGTGAGCAGGGGTGTGGCCCCAGCCCCACAGCCTTGGGGAAGGCTTGCCGTCTCTAGCTGCCCAGCAGGATTCTACACAAGCCTTAATAGAGCTGTAAAAGCTGACATTCCGGGTGTCCTGAGACACTGTTCACTTAGGACAGATTGGAATTGGGTGGAGTGGGATTTTCAACCCAAAATGAAAGACCTAGACTGAAGAAAGTGAAGTTTTCCAGAAAGGTTTTATGGTGGTTGGAGCTGAGCCAGCGGTGTCCCTGGTCATGCAACAGAGGCGCCCCCACTCCCAACACAGACAGCCCCCACCTTTTCACCATCCCTCCAGTCTCTGGGAAGTAAGCTCTGCACTCAGGCTAGGGCGAGTTTTATGCCTGAATCTGCCATTTCTATCCCCTGGGAAGGAAAGGGGGGTGTCACCTCTGAAAGAAATCCCTGTGAGCCAGGCTTCCGGAAGGCCTGGCTGGGGGCTTTCCAGGGTATTGGCAACAACACGGGGCCGAAAACTCGAGACTCCTGAGGTTTATCACTGTGTTAGTTTGCTGGGCTGGCATACCAGAACACCACAGACAGGGTGGCTTCAAGAAAAATGTTTAAAAAAAAGAAAAAGAAAAAAACAAGAAAAATGTATTTTCTCACAGTTCTGGAGGCTGAAAAGCCCAAGACCGAGGTGTCAGCAGGGCTGATGTCTCCCCCTACCCCTCTCCTGGGCTTACAGACAGCCGCCTTCTCACTGTGTCCTCGCGTGGCCTTTCCTCTGCCCGCACATCCCTGGTGTCTCTTCCTCTTCTAAAGACACCAGTCATTTTGGATTAGGGCCCACCCATATGATCTCGTTTAACCTGAATTACCTCTCGAAAGGCCCTTCTCCAAGTCACATTTGGACTAACACGAGGGTGAGAGCTTCAGCATATGAGTTTGGGAGGGGAGGGGGACACAAGTCATTTCCTAACCCTCACTCACTAGCTGATTCCTTAATTAATCTCTTTAAAGTTTCAGTTTCCTCCTCTGAAAATAAGGAGGTGGGAGAGGTGACTCCCAGCTTCCCTTCCAGCCTCCAGTTCATTCTGAAATTGGCTTTTCTGTTGAATGACTAATAAAACTCACAGACCTGGAACCGGGTAGTTTTGTCCATCCAGCCACAGCAGAGTCACATCTCTTTCATCGCCCAGGAGAGGCGCCAAGGCGGGGTGGCTCTGGGCATGGCAGCGGGGCGTACCAGGCAGGCGAAGCTGCGCAGGGGCACTGGCCACCTTGCTGACCTCCAGCTCCCCTCTGAACTGTGGGCCTGGCCCTGTCTGGGGAGCAGGACCAAGCCCATGTGTGGAATGTGAGTTGGAAAGTGTCCATGCAGCCTTCCGTGTTAACATCTGGGTTGTGGTACCTCACTTCCTACCCGCCACCTCCAAAAATAGGTATGGAATTGGCTAACCATAACTTTATCAAAACACGGTGCGGCCTGGCCAGGCCCCATGGGCTGGAGGTCGTGTTTTGTTTTTCCTATTCATGCTCAGAAACTCAGCTGCCTGCACTCCACTCTTCTTTCAAACCCCATACCGCTGCTGCCCAGAACTAAAGGAATAGGAAAAGAGAAATGCCTTTGGGCTGTTTCAAGAAATTCGGAGTATGACCTTCCCTGACCTCCCCAAGGGGTAATGAGGTGGAGAGGGTGCGGGCCAGAGGCTCCTGGCTGACCTCGGGGCCCCTTGGGGTTCCACTGATGCTGGCGGCGTTAGAGCATCCTTCGTCAGCACACCAGGCCACGTCCCAAATGGGGCGCCTGCGATTGGAGCCCTGGGGGTGGAGAGCTGGGTCCTGGGCCAACTTTGAACTTTGTGGTTGGCCTCTCTTGTGCCCTTCAGTCTTTTCTAGAAAATGAGAAGATGCCCCCAGTGCATCTTGAAGTGCCGGGGTTCCTCCCAGGGCAAGGGTGTCCGGTTCCCTGTGCCAGAGGCCGCAGCTTGGAGTTTCGGGAAGTGCTTCTCGGAGAGGCCGTTGGTGCGCACACGTGCTCCTTGCCCCAGAGCAGTGTGCAGCCGCGTTCTTCAGCCAGAGCCTCTGAGACTTCTGTCGGCTTTGGGAGCCAGGACAGGAACACAGCCACGTGGCCAACCAAGTTTGGCTGCCCAGGCAGTGGTGGACAAGGGGCAGGTACCCTCCCAAAGAGAGCCCTAGAGACAGGAGCCCTCCCATTGAGACCTGACCGTGGGAGCCCCGCCGCCCTCCGGTAACAGGAAGAAGTGTGAACAGGAGGTTCTTCAGGCTCCTCCATCCTCATCTTTCCCTGACTTTGGGGCAAGAAATGATGTCAGTTCTGGGAGGGCAGTGGCCCATGAAGGGGGCAGCAGAGGGAGCTGTCTACCTCCAGTATAGTCAGTGAGGCAGGGCACGTCCATAGGGAAATAAAAAATAATAAACCCACTTAAAAGTCCTGCTTTTCATCATCACTGCCCACTGGCATCCTGAATTTCAGTGCTAACCTGGGCCTTGAAAGGGGTCCTGGTCCACGGCCCCACCTCCCTGGGGTACCCCACCCTCCACCTCCCCCATGCTTGGCAGTGGGACTTGGAAACCATGCTGAGGGGAAAGGGAGAGGATCTGGACCTCCAGAGAAGGGAGACTTCAGGCTTCCTAAATCAGGGTGCCAGCTGTTTGAGGGCTCCCCTGAGGCCTGGAGGTGAGGCCTGCAGCCTCCATCACATCCCCACTGCCTGTCTGTCCTGGACACAGTGTCCTCAGGCCACAGCCAGCCCAGGACGCTAGAGACGTGGGGTCAGGAAGGTGGGAGAGGGGGTATGCATGAGGGGCTGGCCGATTGGTCCTTGCCAAAGCAATAGCCTCTCAGAGGCAACCAGAGAGGGTTTTACACAAGGCACCAAATTAGGTGTCTTACTGAGAATCCTAAGCCTCAGGGCTCAGTCTGACCCCAGTGGACAATAAAAGCCTCAGAACCCTAGGCCCAGGGGCCCCGACCTCCCAGTAGGAGTGCTCCGGCCTCCATCCTGACTGTCGCAGTCAGCTTGGTCCTCAGTTCTAGCTCAGTGGTCTCTGCTTTGGGGCAAAAGCATCCCTGGAGAAGGGGGCTTACATGGATGGTTTGGAGGGGGTCTGGTATGGTAGCTAAGAGATGTTTAGTGTATCTGAGACTCCACTCTCTCATGTGAAATGGGGATGACATGGTACTGGCTGCCTCCTAGGGATGCTGTGAGAACCAGATGTCCCTAAAGGACTTGCCCAGGGCTGGGACACAGTAAGTGCTCTGAAAGTCTGCCTGTGCATTTCCCAGTGCTGAGCACAGCACCTGTCACGTGGTAAAAGCTAGGTAAATGCTGGATGACTGAACAGAGCCGGTGAAGTCCACACAATCCATTTCTTCTCTGGGGAAGGTGCCAGTGTTACCAGCAGAGATCAGTAAGCTCATTAGGGAAGTATAAAATACAGGCCTTTACTAGGTCTCAAATAAGCAGAGGGGACAGCCTGAGAGATATCCCTGGGGATGGGTTGAAGGCACACCCTGCCCCTGGGCTGCTGGCCTTCCTCTGAATGTTGGAGTTGGGTAGCCTGCCTCCTGCTGAGGCTCAGGCCCTTCTAGGACTTTCTTGATGGCTCTGCACATCTTAGTTGTGTGTGTTTTTACAGAGGCCCCAAAATATGTTAGTCACGTGTAATGCACAGTCCATATCCAGTGTCCAGGACCCACCTTCACTGCGGGCTCAGCCCAGAGGCCTCCCGAAGGCCAGCCCCCTTCCTGCTGGCTCTGACCCCTTCTAGCTCCTCTGGAGAGAGGTTTGCTTTCTGATGGGACTCCCACTCTAAAGATGATCATTGCTGTGACAATGTCTAGTATTTCTCAAGTATTTCTCACTGTACCCACTCTACCTGAACTGTCTCATTGAATGCACCCGCTCAACAGCCCTGGAGGTCGCCTAGTATCATGGCTGCCCTTGGCATGTCTGTCTGTGGGCTGACCTCACGCACCCGCCCAGCCCCTAAATCCAGAGGAATTAAGACCTGTGCTTTAGGCGTCCTGCCGTTGCTAAGAACTGGCAAACAAACAGCTGAGGGTTCCTGGAAGTGTGACGCCTTATCTCGAAGGAATGAATTGTTAGCAGTGTAAAGGGAAGCAGGGTAAGGTATTTGGATTAAGGGATTCATTTTCAGAACCCTTCCCCAAATGCCAGATCTCCCTGCTTGGGCTCATGTAAGCTGGGCTGGGCGTTCATTCCGTAATACTGAGTGTATGTTCATCTATTCCCAAACTGCCCGTGGCATACCTGCGTCTTTGGGAGGTGCTGTCTTGCTTATCGATGGCACAGTAAACCAGGCAAAAGGCAAACACAGCCCCGCCCTCTGGAGCTTACATTCTAGCAGAGGGGACAGACGACGAATTGCAAATTAGCTTAATTATAATTGTCAAGAATGCTAAGGAGATGTGTAGAGAGTGTTGGGTGGATGAAGTCAAGAGGGGAGGCAGCCGGAGGTGAGGAGGTCTGGCTCAGGCAGAGGTGATGGTGCCTGGGAGGAGGGGGCGGGGATGGAGCTGGGTGGAGCGAAGAGGGTGGATCGGAGAGAGACTTGGGAGATGAAATCCACGGAGGAAGATTTTGACAGGACGTGGGGGATAAGAGAGGGCGATGCTGAAGATCGCTCCTAGATTTCTGGCTTGTCTAACGGACTAGATTTGGGGTCAGCAAACTACAGCCTGCGGGCCAAACCCATCCCTCTGCCTGTTTTTGTAAATGTGGTTTTATTGGCACACGGCCGTGCCCAGTCATTTACAGCTCATCATCTCTGCTTTCACAGTACGTGGTAAAACAGGGCAGCCGGCCCACCGGCCTGAAATGTTGATGGAAAGTTTGCGGCGCCTGGGACAGATGGTAGTGGCTATAGCTGAAATACAGCACAGGTTTAAGTGGAGAGAGAAAAGCGGGCAAGTTAGATTTGGGGTCTCCAGGGTGCCAAGTGGGACTGTCAAGGAGGCAGTTGGCTGTCTGGGTCTCAGAAGAGAGTTCTGCTGGAGAGGACAGCAGGGGGCGCTGTGGGAGGAGATGCCATCAGGAGCTGGAACCAGCGAGCAGAGGGTGTGGCCAGGAGAGAAGGACCCAGGAAGGAGTTGGGGGGTTCTACCATTTTAAAGTCCCTTGAGTCGCATCCTTCCAAGTGTCAGATCTAAGGGCAGCGCCCCGCTGGTGGGCTCATGGGGAGCAGAGCAGGTTCCTCTGTGCTGCTTAGGGGGGGTCAGTGGGTCTCCCGGCTGCAGAGTCTTCTAGGGCCCCAGGATGCCTGCAGTGAGGCAGGGGAGGGGACCCAAGACCATGCTGGGCACGATGCCGGCACACGGTAGGCTCTCAGTGATGCTGGTGAATCTGTGTCGCAAGCAGGACCCCCCCACCCTGGGGACATTGGGACTGAAGGCAATATGGTGGGGGCAGCAACCCTCCCTCCCCTCCTGGTGACCATGCCTTCCTTCCTCTCCACAGCTGCGCCTGAACGGGGGCCGAAACCCCTACGAGGGCCGGGTGGAGGTGCTGGTGGAGAGGAACGGGTCCCTCGTGTGGGGCATGGTGTGCGGCGAGAACTGGGGCATTGTGGAGGCCATGGTGGTCTGCCGGCAGCTGGGCCTGGGGTTCGCCAGCAACGCCTTCCAGGTGAGACGCCGTGGTCTTAAACCCTCCATACAGTCTGACCATGCCCATCTCCAGTCAGCCCCCATCTTCCATGATCCCTGGGAGGTGGAGAGCCATGGGCTCGGAGGCAGGAACCTCACCCCAGCCTCCACTCCGCCCCCATGGCCGAGTCCTTGGGCGGGCCACCTATCTTCTGGCCTCTGTCTCCCCGCTGCAGAATGAACCCCTGGACTCTGGTTTCACTGTCCCAGCTCTGCTTGCTGGGATTGTCCTGAGGCCCGGGGCTCATCCTTGTGTGCTTTTTCCAGAGGGAAGTCTCCCTGTCCTATGGGGCAGTAGAGACCTCCAACCCAACACCCCAGACGCCTTAGCTCACTCCTTTGGGAGGCCCCTCTGCCCAGAACATGTTTCCCCGCAGTGTCCACGCTCACGCGTCCTCCCACTGGTTGGCTGGTAAGTCCCTGAGCCTCCTCTAGGGCCCTTTCACAGCCATCGAACCTGCCTCCTGCCAGCCCTTCCTTAAAGAGAAGGACTCAGCTAAGTTTCCGTTCCTGGAAGGCAGCAGAAGAAAGACGATTAGCACTTTAGCTTCAAAAATAATTGCTTTCTGGACCCTATACTGTGAGAGAACATCGTCAGAAAGAGGCTGGGGGCAGGAGGAACAGGAGCCGGGAGGCTTGGGGTCTGCTCCCAGCTGTACCCCCGCCAGCTGGCTGCATAAATCTGGGGCAAAGCAGCCCCCCTTCCTTGCCTCCCTGTGACAGGGAATGAACAGTCCCAGGTCCTCAGTAGCCTGACTCTAAACACTCTCCTTAAGCTTCTCACAGAGCAGGAAAATGTCTGGAGCCCCTGTCTTGCTTCGCTAACCCTGACTCCAGCCCCTGTGCCCCGGGTGGCCCTGCTTGGGAAAGGGGTTTCGTAGGTTGAGATGTGGAGATCTCAGGCAGCCCTGCTGAGCCTGACTGCCTGCTGCGGGCTGGCCAGGTGCAGGGTAGGCGCTGAGCCCTGAGCAGGGGCTGTCCTCTGGCTCCTCGCCTCAGCATCCAGAAGAGGCAGGCCTTTGATATCGGGGCCTCTGGGGGCCTGGCTTCCCAGAGCAATGAAATGTTTCTGCTAATACTGCTTATGACAAGCCATGGCACTCTCTGGTTCTCCAAGGAGAATAGAAAAACTGTGCTCATTACAACAGAGTGGCTGTCTGGCTATTTTTTTTCCTTGTCAGCTCATTCCCAAGACGCCTGGGCCTCAGCTGGGGCTGTGAAATGCCCTGCCCCTAATGTCGGTCCCAGGTCTGCCCCCAACGTCGGTCCCAGGTCTGCCCCCGACTGCCCCAGTTTTCTTTAGAGGATGAGGGGTATGTAGTCAGTTTTCTCTAGAGAAACAGAACCAATGAGATGAATATGAATATGGAACTATTGACATATGTGAATAGAATTCCTCTCTCCTGCCAGTTCTGATCAGTTGATAATGTCTTCCTGCAAGCGCATTCAGGCTTAGAGGAGAGAGTGCTATGATGGATTAGTAATGTCTGCCCCAGGCTCAGGGTGAGGGAGCAGGCAGCACGAGTGCCATTCTAGACCCACAGCATTGAGCACAACCTTAGCTGTGCTTTCCAGAGGGGAAGAGTGGCAGAATCCAAGTGTGAGGGTCTCACTCACTCACGCTGCCACCAACAAACTGCATGACTTGGGTAAGTGACTCTTTGTTCCTCAGTTGTCTCCATCTGAGAAATGGGCTCAGAAAGCCTTGGGATTTTTGTGAGGCTGCAAGTTGATAGTCTATGGGAAAGTGACAATTCAAGGTGATGTACTGGCCATTTCTTTTGTCAATTCATCCAGGAGACCTGGTATTGGCATGGGAATATCTACGCCAACAAGGTGGTCATGAGCGGAGTGAAGTGCTCGGGAACGGAGCTGTCCCTGGCGCACTGCCGCCACGACGGGGAGGATGTGACCTGCCCTGAGGGCGGGGTGCAGTACGGAGCTGGAGTCGCCTGCTCAGAAAGTGAGAGCTCCTGGGGGTCATAGACCACCCTCCCTGCCAGGCTCTGGGAGGGGACCAGAGTCTCACTGGTTATTCCTTGCAAGGTTCTGGGGCCTCTGTCATGAGCCCAGCAAAAGAGGAAAGCAGAGGTGGATTCTTGTGAAGTGAGAAGAGTCAGGGCCGGGGTGGAGGGGGTGCAGCCAGGGCTACCCCCACCCGCAGCCCTGGAATCTTGCCTGATGGCAGCGGAGAGGAAGGCAGGAGGGAGGACGTGGGAGTCTGGGGGCCTTGGGTTCAAATGCAGGGCCACTATAGACTATTTAAGTGGCCTTGGGTGAATTAAGTGACTAAGAGCTTGTTCTTAATCCGTTAATGAGGCGGATAACACTTATTTAAGTGGCCTTGGGTGAATTAAGTGACTAAGAACTTGTTCTTACCCGTTAATGAGGCAGATAACACTTCCTCGGAGAGTGGCTCTGGGTTAGCAGATGGAGCCCCGAGCACGTGCTCTTCCTCCTTGCACCCTGCTCCACAGATCATTTCCAGTTGTCACACCTGGAGTGATTCAGCCTCCTAGTGACTCCTTGGGAATCCTTGACAATGGAGAAGGGAAAGCTCCCCGCCAGGATTCAGAATGACCAGCTCAGGGCAGTTCGGTTCCATTCTGAGAAAACCTGCTGACAGCCTTGTGGGCATGCAATTCTCTAGGTCCCCACCCCTTGCCTTATCAAATGATTCCCCTGTGAATCTGGGAGGTGGGAGAGGCTCAGAGTCCGGCCAGAGAACTCCAGACCAGACCCTACCTGCCACTTATTAGCTGATCTCGGCAAAGTTGGTTAACTGCTATGATCTACAGTCGTTGCTATTTTTCCTAGAAACTGGAAATTAGATGTGACTACACGCAAGTGCTTAAAAAGCACGGATGCTCTGCCGTTTGTCATCACGGAGAACTAGGGAGAGGATTAAACCTGAACTCCATCACTTCAGTTCTCCCATCAACCCCTTTAGACCCACTCTGCATTTCCTAACCCTTGTAAGGCAGAACTCTGAACCCCAGCACGAGCTTCTCCAGGCAGCCGTCACAAGCTATCGCATTCTGCCTGAGAGGAAAGAGCAAGATCTTACTAGACCCCCAAGGGGAGAGCATCCGAGCAGAGGGAAGCTGTCTCACCACCACCAGGAGCCCTTTTCTGGCTTAATAACTTATTTATATTTACAATATATCAGGTTTTTTTCCAAAAGAAAATTAAGATAATATAAACCTAAACAAAACTCAAGGTAGCATAAGATAAAAGCAGAGGAAAGAAAAGTAGGTATTGGCAAAAAGGTAGTGGCTCAAATTGGAGCCGAGAGAGAGGTTAATTAAAAATATGTACTATAAAATCCTAGACATGTACTGCTATAGAGTCCTATACATTTACTATTGTAATTTTACAGTGAGCCTCCTGGCAGCCAAAGGGAAGAGAGAAACCTGGTCAATAATAAAATACATGAGATAGAAACAAACCCATGAGTCAAAAGAAGCCCACTATTCTGGATACTGAGATCAAAGAGAATTTCTCACTATGAGGACTGAGAGTTATGAAATAAACAATGCCCTCTGCATCCTCACAGCAGACCAAACATGACTTTCATGGGACTACTGCTCAGAGAACCCCTTAGCTTCGGCTGAAGACGTCAGTTAAAGTCTGCAGGGGTGCAAGAGCCATTTGGGCCAGGAACACTGATCTGGCTTAATACTTTATTCAGAAGGATAAAGTACATTCTTCACACAACCCTTTGTAATCGCTTTTTCTCATGCAACCTGTTGCTCCCTAAATCTGCAAGTCCTCCCTGAATGCTCTCCCTCTTCCTCATCGCATCCACCATGGTCAATCCACCTGGATTTTTACCTTTCCGTGTTTTCTCCACTCCCTCCACCTCCTTCCATTGCACTGTCCCTGCCTGTGTCCCGATGACCATTGTCCACACCACATTACCACAGAGGCTCTTCCCTGGCACCTCCAATTGCTTCCCCTCCCTGAGGCCAGAGTCAGCGCTGGTCCCCTCAACTCGTGTTCCTTCCTCTTCCAACCCCGTCCAGACTTTCCCACCACACTTAAATGAACACAGGAACTTGCACGCACATGTGTTATCCAGCCTGATTTCAGGTCACCTTCCAAGCCCCACCCCTCCGCAGTGTCCTAACCACAGGGACCTTGGTCCTCCTTATGTCTCGGGGCTCCACATGTGCTACTTAGATTAGCATCTTAGAGCTGTTTCCTCTAATCTGCTCCTCCTCCAGGGAACAACTAGAATGTAACTGCCTCCAAAGAAGTCTCCCCAGTTTGGGTCCCCTGTTATAACTCCCAGCTGACTCCATATTTCTCCTTCAAACACTGGCTGCAGTTGTAATTAAGTGGTTAATATGCACTCTGTCTGCCTCTCCCGCTAGAATATAAGGTCTGCCTTGTTAGCACCATCCAGAGAGCCTAGCACAGGCTAGGCTCCTAATACCTGAAAGATGGGTGGATGAATGTGTGCCTCCCATGAGCTTCTGGTGGGTGTTCTGGGTGTTAGGGAGGTCAAGGCTCCATTCCACGAGAGGTGCTGAGAGTGGGCTGCCAGCCAAGTCAAGGCCATGTTACCTTAAGACTCCTGAGCTGGAGGTGGGGCTGGCCTCTTCTCAGAAAGAGGAGGGCCCAGTGGAGACCCCTCTGCCCAGCTCAGGTAGGCAGAGGGGCTGTCCATTGAGTGCCGACCAGCGTACAGATAACAAATAAGAGACTTACAACACCCTGCATTAAAGTGGGCCCAGAACACTCGGCGCCAGAACACTGCCTCCCAGTGTGTGCCCTCCAAGGGGAAATCGTTCTCAGCAGATGGGAGCCTCCTGATTTGTCTCCCTCTCCCTACCCCTCATTCCATCCCATTCCATTCGTGAGCCTTTTTTCACTCCCCGGTGGTTCCACACCCAGTCCCTGCAGGTGGATTTGCTCCCTGGTGGCTGCTGGCGCCCCACATGCAGCCCGGGGGCGGTGGGGAGGGGACGCGGGCAGGTGAGGAGTACTCCAGGCCTGGTGAGCCTGAGTGAAGCAAAGCTCTCGTACGCTTACTCCAGAAATTTACAGCAACCCATCAGAAGACAAAAGACGGATGGGTCTTGTAAATGATTCATAGGAAACATTTTTGTGAATTGAAGTGCACTGGAAATGTTCAACGGACTCTGACTTTAAAGGGAAACTTACAGTCAATCCTTTGGTAAAGAAGCTGATCTTCCTAATACAGTTGTTTAGTAAACATAGGTTGTAGCCACTAGTGATTTGTTTTTCACACCTGTTGTGTGCAGTGTGGTGACTGAGCAAATCATGCTTGTTTTGAAAGAGGCACCTGGGGGAAAATTCTCACCCAGAGCCACAGTGCCAGTGGAAACTGGTAGAACCTGATATACATCAGAGCCTTGAAAGTATGCAGCCCTGCCCCCTGGCAACTTCACTTACGGAAATATATTCTAAGGAAATAATGAAAGTTACATACACAGATTTACTACAGGTTGTTTATCACAGCTTTATCTTTAACTGTGAGATGTTCCGAGCAACCCATGTAGCTAAAAGAATGGAATAGGGTTATGAATTAGATAGTATGTAGCCATGCAATTGATGTTGTAATGGATATTTATTAACAAGGAAATATGTCAATGTGTGTTTTAAGGGAAAGAGTATTAGCAGACTGTAAATCTACACACAATATTACACACGTTGGAAAATATATTTGTATTGTTCCCAGAAGAATCACATCAAGTCAGTAAGAGTGTTGTCTCTCTGGGTAGCACAATTTCGTTGTTATTGTTTGCTTTTTATTATGGAAAATCTCCAGCCACCCAAAAGTAGAGTAATACAGTGAAGCCTCACATGCCCATCACCCAGATTGGACCGCTGTCAGAACATTTTGCCCATGTGCACTGAGGTCTGCAGAGGCATCCAGGAGGACTCCCCGAGAAGGAGACCAGGGACTGGGGGTAGCGATCTGCAAGGAGGGTGACCTGGACGGGGTGACCATGAGCCAGTTCCGGTCGGTGGTGCTCGGCAGTGGGGGAGGCTAGTCCCAGCTCGGGAATCAGAACTAACACACTTGGGAAGGGGCGCGGGGTCTCTGGCCTTGTTTGAACACCATGTCTGCCCTCCCAGCCGCCCCTGACCTGGTCCTCAATGCGGAGATAGTGCAGCAGAGCACGTACCTGGAGGACCGGCCCATGTTCATGCTCCAGTGTGCCATGGAGGAGAACTGCCTGTCGGCCTCGGCCGCCCAGACCAACCCCACCACTGGCTACCGGCGGCTTCTGCGCTTCTCCTCCCAGATCCACAACAACGGCCAGTCCGACTTCCGACCCAAGAACGGCCGCCACGCCTGGATCTGGCATGACTGCCACAGGTGAGCCCTCCCCTCCATCGCCACCAGGCTGCCCCGCCTGACTTCCTGCTTAGGGATGAGATTCAGAATCACCGCATCACTTAGAGACGGCCGAGAGTCCGCACGGTCCCGGGGGCAGGGTTCTCCCAAGCTGGAGGGAGTCGAGCCTGCCACACTGACCCCTCCACGTCTGCTGACCCATTTTCCACTCCCAGTGGCCCTGGCCCACCCCACCTTCCCTGGACCCCTTCTCTTTCTTGTCTTCAGCATCTCTAACATTTGGAAACATCATAGCAAGTTCGTGTTCTGCAGGCTGCTTGAGGGTTCTGCAGTTGTTGGACTCTGAGTTCACTTAGAAATACATTTTAAATACTAGGAAGACAGTGGGTGTGGAGATGAGAGATCTAGTGAGTCGTGAGGCCTGGCCTCTCAGCCCCGTGGTGCCTCTGAACAGCTGCGTGATGTCAGGCCAGCTGGGCCACATCAGCCGGGACCTCTAATGTCCCTTCCCGCTCCGAGTCTGTGGATCTGTTCCCAGTGCTATATAAGTCCTGGATGAGGACAGAGTGAAATTCTAGAGCCAGCCCTAGCTGGAGCCAACAGAAGCCACCCTGTTTATTTCCCTGACTTCTCTCTTTTTTCTTTCCTTTGCCTTAATTCCAGCTTTAGTCCAGAACTCGCTGCTGCTGCTTGTTCATATTTTCCTGCTCAGACCTGAGCTGGGCAGGCAGAGGGCACAGAGTGAGCACACTTTTGAAAATGAAGAGAGGGAGGCCAGTGCCATTCAATACGGCAGCAACGCCCTCATCCCCACCCCAAGGGGTCCACAGACTTGGGCCCGGCCGGGGCCCGCCTCTGTGCTCAGAATCCCACCTGTACAGAGCTTTTGCACGAGGTCCCTGCTTCTGAGAGTGAGATCCAGGGGTGGTTGCGGATTTGCATCAGGAATCCGCGTGTTAACAGGGTCCCGTGGTGATCCTGTGCACATCATAGTCTGAGAAGCCCCAGGCTGGCTGACCTCTGGGCATCCTTCCAGCTCTGCAACGTGGTGATCCCTGTTTGGGGTGCAAGACCTTAACATTTATTGACCCCCTTCTAAGTGTCAGGACGGGGAACCCCCATCTTCATGGGTAAGGACACAGAGGCTTGGGGTTTGTGTGGCTTGCCCAAGATAACACAAGAAGTTGGGGAGCCAGGACCCCGACTTGGATCTGTCTGATTCCCAAGTGTGTGCTCTTTCTGTTCAGCCTCCGCGCAGTCGTCATCAGATGTCTGCGTTTGACTGCCTTTTCATGTCACAACTCATGACCTGGCCACATTGAACCTGTTTTGGGATAGAGTTGTTCAACCCATTTTAAAAGAAAGGGCTGTGGTGGAATTCAGGGGAGCTGACTGTGCTTTACATAGTTGACCCGTGAACAACACAGGTGTGAACTGAATGGGGCCACTTAGCTGTGGATTTTTTTTGCAATACGTTAAGTTCCTACACGTATGTTCATTTTACCAACTTTAACTCCGTGTGGGGAAAAGTTTGTGTTCGATTAGAGATCATAGTATGTGGAATCCAAAAAACTGGGGTTTGAGTCCCAATTCTATCCAGACAGTTTCCGGACTCCCTGCCCTTGGGTGAGTCATTTATCAGCTCCTTTGTTTCTGAGGCAGAGAGAGCGGTACGTGGATTTTCAACTGCACAGGGGTCAGTGCCCCTCACCTCCGCGTTGTTCAGAGGTCAAATGTAATTACTGTCGGTATGTCCTGAAAGTCCGAATTAGCCAAAGAAGTTTTGGTCTTTATATAGAAGCATGTAGGTCTTCTGCAGGGAGGAAGTCAAAAGAGCAAAATTAAAGTCATGACATCAGTGCCCAATTCCCTTCAGAGAGCACATGGGCGGAAGCCCTGGGTCCAAGGTGGGGCTGACACGGCCTGTGGGTCTGTAAGTAGAAGGTAATTGCATCTCTGCCCTGCATATAGTGCTCCACCCAGACGTTACAGGGTAGGAGTCTCTCTGTGACATAGGCTTGCTCTCCAAGGAAAAATCTTTCCTCTAAGAATACACATGGTGCCATCATGGAAGTGTTTCTTCCCATCTGGAGCTGCAGGGACCCTGATCCCTTCCCCGCCCCCACCAACCCCTGCGTTTCCTGCATTCTGTTTTATTTCTTTGTTTACAGATGTTGCAATTAATGCTTTGGGAGGGATGGGTGGGAAAGAACACGCTGGCTAAGCATGTGTCCCTTCAGGCCTCGCTCTCCTGGCCCATGACAGAACCTCTGGCCTCCCCACACCCTCCGCCCCTGCCTCCGGGGCCCCAGGGGGCCTTCTCCAGGCTCTGTGGGGAGGACGTTTCAGCAGGACTCCTGGCCCCAGATCTCTGTTGGGTCCCTTTGGGAGTGTGATGAAAGCTGGCCCGTCCTCCACTCAAAACAATTATTTCTAGATTTAACATCCTATTTCAGCAGATTTACAGGCGCTGAAGCCCATCTGTGGAGCCCTGGCTCAAGTTAGTGTGAATGGGGGAAACCATCACCCCCAGTTCAGTTGATGCTGCAGTGAGGAACGGAGCTATGTTTTTTGAAAGCCCACAGATGAAACACAGAGACTGGCCCCCTTAGGTGTCTCCTCGCAAAACAGGCACAGTGGGAAATGCCCTGAGCCATCCTTGCTTGTATACGTTGCCCTAGGTGGATGATCTTGGTGGGGGTCCCCCTCCTGCTTATTGTGCCCTCCGGGAGTGGGATCACACCTGCTTACCTGGTACATCATGTCGCAGCTTTGACAGGGGCCAGATGAAGCTGGGCACGGGGCAGCCCTGCTCCACCCTTGTTCTCAGCCCCTGCGGTGTCTCTCAGCTCAGCCCTCCCACCTCGAGGAAGTTCCCAGAGAGGAGCTGGGAGCCAGGGAGGCAGGGAGGTGGACGCCAGCACAGGCACCAGCCCTCTGAGTCAGCGGTGGCCCGGCTACAAAGGGGGAACTTTCATTCTCTCCACCCTGCCTCCCACCATGTGCGTTGCAGCCCCCGTGTTGGGCCAGAGCCCCACAGATGCGATGTGGTCTTTGTGAGCCAATTTTAGAGCCTCATCACATCCGTGGGGCTTTGTTCTGGCTGGGGGCTGCCTGGCACATGGGGAGGGCAGGGCGGAGCAAGTGGACGGGCCCCTGCCCTTTGTGGCAGCACCTCCTGAGGCTGGAACACACCCCCTACCCTCCATGTTCTCTGAAATGGGGACAGGGGCATTTTCCCAACCACAGCTGGGCACTGGCCAGGACTGTCCATCCTGGAGACACTGGGCGGGGGACATGTGGCTCGTGTAGGAAACGGTGAAGAATGGAACATCTCCTCTACAACGTGCACTGATTCTTGGACTGAGAGTTTTATTCGGGCCCAAGATGAACAAGGAATATACCCAAACCTCCCTTCTCGCTCTGGACTAGCTCTCGCTGTCATCCCCGCGTTCACCAGCACCTCCCAAGTAGAGGACCGCTTTCTGGAGTCTCACGGTAGAATGCTGTCCTTCCTTCCATCCAGGTTACCATGACCTCTGTCTCATGTCAGGTATTCTCTGTCCCCTTAGATTTCTGGAACTTCTTTGCCAATCGGAACTTCCCTATCTTTATCCCATGGATCAGGCCCCCTCTTAAGACTTCCAAAGGTGAGGGTGCTCAGCCTGAAAAGAGAAGGTGTCCCCTGATCACTACAATGTGCCCTCCTGACTTCCCAGTGGCCCCGATCTGCATCTCCTGGATGTGTGCGTGGGTGGTGGAGGGTGGGTACCCCTGGGCTCTGCGGCCAGCCAGCTGACAGAGACATGTGGCCCCAGGGGCAGTTTCCACATAGTCCCAGAGGTAAAAGCCCAGAGGCTCCTGGACCGCAGCTAGCTAAAATCAGAAGGCTCCAAACCAGCTGTTTCCCGGCCCCCGGTGTCCTCAGGGGAAAAACTGAAGAGCTGGGGAAGACTCTTAAATCAAGTCTGCAGGAAGCAGGGGGAGTGGGAGAAGGTCAGCCCTACAACAGTCCGTCTGTGGAGTCCGTCTGAATTTTGTTTAGACAGCGGAACATAAACCCATTCCTCTTCAGTCTTTCCAGCCGGTAAACATGGTAACATAAACCCCTCTCTGAAAGATGCAGACATATTTTAGGCAGTGAGTCAGACCTCATGTCTCATCTTGCTCCTTCGAGAAGCCAGAATGGGCTCTTTCAAAGTCATCCCTTCAACTGCCACAAAATGCATCCTTGTGAACGTCCTCCGTGGGCTCCCGGCTTCGCATCCTTTCACCCAGAAACATGAGTGACCTGGGAAAAGCCCAATTTAGGAACCTCTGACATTATTTTTAGCGCCCAAGCCAACACAGGAGGAAGGGAAAAAAGAGCCTCTAATTTCCTCTCTGAAAACCTGTCCTTTTAATTCCCGTCTCCCTCTGTGCCCTCCTGCTCCCGTTCCAGCGGAGGGAGCCTGAGGCCTAGCAGCTGAGGCTCGGAGGCCAGGAAGCCGCTGTCGGCCTGGGAATAATCGTAGCAGTGGCGCTGGTGGTGGTAACAACCCCTCTCTCCACGCCCAGGAGTAGCAGCAGTCATGAGCGTTGACACGTACTGAGGACCCCTCTGTTACAAGCCTTGTGTTAGGTGTTTCTGTGATTTTTCCTAATCCATCTTTAAAGAACCTGAGACGGGATCATGCTCTCATTCCCTCTTCCCTGGAGAGGAGACTCGGGTCACGCGGAAACAAAACACGTGATTCTGCTCCCCAAGACTTGGTTCCTTGTTCCTCTGTTTTTCCCCATGTTCTGAATGTCCCTGGAATGATGGAGACAAGCATGTTCGAATATTTGCAGCCGATTGTGATGCACGCGGAGCAGCTTAGGATGGGCCTGGCCACCAAGTGCCTCAGGAAGGCCCCACAGCCACATGCAGCAGCCATGTTTCCCTTGTTTATTCTGCACCAAACACAGGCCCCTCCAAGAATCTGCATCTGTTCTCAATTCCTCCCAAGTGACGAGATGGAGAGATGGAACACCCTTACATAAACAATCCGCAAAGGCAAGAGCCTCGGGGCAGCAGAGCCCCCTCCTTCCTCTGCTCCCTCCCGGGCCCACTGGCTGTGCCTGCCACCCGCTCCCTCCTACAGGGCTTGCGAGCCCTCTTTTCCCCTCCTTTTTGCTCCATTTGCTGGATGCCAGAAGCACAGATTTCTGCTGCCCCCTTCCCGGCTGCAGGCTGCACCCTGCCTCTGTCACCTGGTTTAGGACACGCGTGTGCCCTACTCCTCAGCCCCCGCCCTTCCCGCCGCTCCTCCATATCCACATGTCCTCCCCCTCTTCATCCTCTCTCCCTCCCTCCCAGCCACACTCCCACCTTAAAAAGTTTTCAAAAGACAGAGTGACTTGCAGTCATCTGCAGAAAGTGTCCCAAATAGGAACAGCCTGTGACAGCCACTTGAGCGCTCCGGAGGTTATTACATACACTCACTAAAAATATCCTAATACATTGAGCTTATCGGTGCCACCTGAGATCACCAGTGCATCTTGTTAATTCCCCCGACAGCCAGTGTGTTAAGTGCCTTGTTAATATGTGCATTGTTAATTACATTCATTGTTATTGCCATTTAGCTGATGAGAGAACTGAGGCCTGGGGAGGTGAGCAGGCTGTCCCCCTCCAGAGCCCACATGAGCATCACTGTTACTGACTTCTGCTCCATCCCCCCTTTCCTCTTGCCCTGTCACCCACTGCTCTTCTACCTGCTGCCCCTCTGGACTGCTCTTTGCTGCCCTAGGTGCCCCCAGAGAGAAATGGCCAGCTGGGCGATCGCTTACAGGCAGCAGTCATCCCAGAAACTGACTTCCAGGCCCCCTCTCTTGCTCCCAGGCACTACCACAGCATGGAGGTGTTCACCCACTACGACCTGCTGAACCTCAATGGTACCAAGGTGGCAGAGGGCCACAAAGCCAGCTTCTGCTTGGAGGACACGGAATGTGAAGGAGGTATCTGTGTGTTGGGGTAGCGAGCTCCAGGGGGAATTGTGCTCCCACGGCTGTGCTCACCCAGAGCCCAGGCCTGGCATGGGACTCTGTCACCCTGGCCACTGCTGACTCTCCATGGGACCTTTCTTGCTGGGACTCCCATGGCTACAGCTTGGGACCAGGGCAGGGAGTTGGGCGAGGCCTGGCTATAAAGGCACCTGGTTCCCCAGAGCTCTGCTGATGGGTGCTGCCAGATCCACATTATCTCCTGGATAAGGTCCAGACGCTTGGACCTGACACAGTCCCCACTCACTCTGGCTGCCACAGCCCTTCTCCCTGTGTCCCCGCGCCAAGTGTCCCCGCCCCACATGTCCCTGCCCCGCAGGCCCTTATCTTCAAGCCCAAGCTCAAATGACCCCCTCTGGGGTCCCCAGGCTCTCTCGACTGCCCCAGCCAGAGGCAGCGTCCCACTCACATACCTTGTCTGCCACCACACCTGCCCTGTGTCACCTGTGGGTGCACCTGCCATCCTGGCATGACCCAGGGAGACACGCTGACTCTTCTCCACAGGGCCAGGGCTTAGAGTGAAACCCAGACATGGCAGCCTCTCAATAAATGGGTGTGAATCAGTCAGTTCTTGACGTGGCCCCTGACATGCCATGAAGTCATGCAGCAAGTCTAGTTTTGAGCACCTACTGTGCGCCAGACAATGGGCTGACCCAGTAAGGGTCAGAGGGACAACTCAGATCCAAGCCCACATCCTAATGTGGATCCCCCACAGGGAGACACGACGACCCCCACATAATCTCAACAGTAAACACACAAACTCACCCAGATAAGCACACGCTTCCTTCCCAGGCTAAGATTCCTTGGAAAGGCCAGGGTGGCCAGGGAGGGCTTCATGGAGGAGGGGGCCCTTGGCAGACCTGGAGGGAGCAGTGGGATGTGGGTGGAGAATCGAGGGAGGGATTCCACTGAAAGGAGAGGACAGCAGGGATGGGCTGCTGAGCCCAAATGAAGAGGCTGTGGGTTTAGGGGAAGCGAGAGAGATGCTGAGGGTGGGGCCTGGGGATGTCAGCCACCAGCAGGGCTGCTCGAGGACCTTTGCGGGGCGGGTGACACAGATGGTAGAGGAAGCCTCCTGGGGCACTGGGGCCACGGGTGCGTAGTGACCGGGCTTCCTGCCTGCAGACATCCAGAAGAGTTACGAGTGCGCCAACTTCGGCGAGCAGGGCATCACCATGGGCTGCTGGGACATGTACCGCCATGACATCGACTGCCAGTGGGTGGACATCACTGATGTGCCCCCCGGAGACTACCTGTTCCAGGTGAGGGGCGTGAGAAGGGGCTGCAGGCCCCCACAGAGGGGAGGAGGGGTCTCTGCCTTAGTAAGGGAGGAGGCAGCCTCCTTTCTGTTGACGCCTAAACAGAAAACACATGCGTGGAGGTCAGGCTGTCCATAGTACACAAGTCCAACGCCCGGAAGCTGTCCCAGTCCACCAGGTAACCTGGGTATGTGAGGCGTGCAGGCCTGTGGGGAACGGCAGACCTCCTGAGGCATCAGTTCACACCTGGCGCTGGCAAATTAAAATGCATCTGTAGGCCAGATTTGGTCCTCAGGCCAGGAATTTGTGCCACAGACTCTAAGGCAACGTACACCTCTTGTGTCCTTTGAAACTATACTCTCACCTCCACCCCGGTTTCTCCTAGTGCCCTCACCCTGCCTCGGTGTGTGCTGTCAAGGCCGAAAGCAATCACACAAAGAGCCATTCACTCATAAGTGTTTGTGCCCTGCCTCTCCCAAAAATGTTTGCCTCATAGAGGAGGATCTGCAGAGGGGGCAATTCTCAATGCAAAGAAATGAATCTCTAATGGTAGAATGTCAGGCACTAGAGACAGCCTGTCCGGTGATTGTGCAGGGACTTCCCAGGGCTTCCACATATTCTGTCCAGGGGGTTGGCCCGCCATGAAGAGGAACCAGAAGGCTTTGGCCTCCCGCCTTCCTGCAAATAACTGCCTGCCCAGCCAGGCCCTGGCTGGTGGGGGAGCCAAGGGGCGCCGTATCCCCAGCGTCTCCCTGTTCAGAGCACAGGTGCACTGCTGCCTGCAGAGGGTTCGTTTCGCCTTCTCATTCTTCCCACAGCTCCACCCCCGTCTCGCTTTCAGGCTTGATGGTTGGGTGGCAAAGCAGGGGACCAGAAATGTGTCATTCTGCCTTGAAAGCTTTCCTAACGAGGCATCCAGCCAGCCCAGGGCCTGGCCACGGTCCCCGCCCTATAGACAGTCCTGGGAGGAACGAGCACCTGCAGGGAAATGACCACAGAGGGGCTTTGAAAGTTTCCCTGGGCAATTTCAGATGCTGGGAATCAGACAGCCAAGCACTTTTCCACCCGCAAGCCCAGAACCGCAGACTTGGAGAGGCCCCACCGACGAGCAAAGTACTCTCTGTTTTAAAAACTGAATACCCGTGTCGCTGCGCACGTACTCCATGTGCGGCGGTTTACCTTTGAGGTCGGCTATCACTTTGCCAGGTGAAGGTGCAGCGTCGCGTATTCTGACAACGCCATCTGCTTAAGGACGACGGCTCGTTGAAGGTGTATGGTGGGCCAGACCCTGACTACGCCCTGTGCCGGCATCGCTCATTCAATCCCCCAGGGAAGGGCATCACCATGACCCTCATTTCACAGCCGGGCGAACCCAGGTCACAGTGACTCCGTATTCTGTGTCCCCGACCCCTAAACTATATCATTAGCAAGTTAACTCCTTAGAGGCACGTTCGTGGAAAAGAGTATTTCCCTTGGGATAGATATGGAGCTTTAGACGTATGAGAGCCCTGGCCTGGGATTCCCCGGCCCCTCCATTCCCACGTGGACCGAAGTGCAGGCAGGAGAAGGCTGGGCAGAGGGGCTGTGCCCAGAGGCTCAGAGGCACGGCTCACTGGGTCACTGGGTTCCTGTTCTCCTGTTCTCACCATTGCCTGGATCCACAGCAGATCTTTCTCTTTTTTTTCCCAACACGAGGCTACCACTGCCATTTTATTTATTTATTTATTTTGCTTGTTTGTGGGTTTTCTTCAAGTTTTTTTTTTAATTTGGGTATAGTCAATTTATAGTATTAGTTTGAGGTGTACAACATAGTGATCCAAAATTTTTCTAGATTATACTCCATTTATAGTTATTATAAAATATTGGCTGTCTTCCCTGTGCTGCACAATATATCCTTGTAGCTTATTTATTTTATACATAGCAGTTTGTACCCCTGTCTTGCCCCTTCCCTCCCCTCACTGGTAACCACTAGCTTGCTCTCTATATCTGTGAGTCTGTTTCTTTTTTGTTACATTCACAAAGTTTGTTATATTCTTCAGATTCCACATCTAAGGGATAACATGCAGTATTTGTCTTTCACTGACTTATTTCACAAAGTATAATACTTTTCAGGTCCATGCATGTTGTTGCAAATGACAACATTCATTCTTTTTTAGGGCTGAGTAATATTCCATTGTGTGTATAGACCACATCTTCTTTACCCATTCATCTGTGGATGGACACTTGGGTTGCTTCCACGTCTGGGCTGTTATAAACCACAGGAGATCTTCTGTCTAAGGAACTAAGGCCACTTCCCACAGATCCTCATGAGACTGAGAACCATACATGTGAGAGTCTGATGGGATAGTGGAGATCATTCATATGGGCTCCCTGGGGGCGTGGCTGTCTGTGGACAAGAAGCTGAGGGGCCTCAGTGCGTGGGGTTTGTCTGTCCCGGGCCATGAGCCCTGCATGGGCTGGAGCAGGGGACAGCCAAGGTTGTCAAGTAGAAAAGAGATCAAACAAGTCTGGCCACCCCAGAGCGAGACATAAGACTGGCCTTAGCTGGAGAGACAAAGTCACATGGGACACATCCTAGGTCCCCCAGAATGGCCTGCACTGGCCAGGACACAGAGCTGGAGGCCCCCTCCCCCACTGTCCTGTTTCCCACAGCAGCTCTGGCTGGCCCACCCAGTCTGCTAAAGGGTCAGACCCAGGCCCTTCTGGAGGGCAAGGTCCCGAGGGCCCCAGACCTACAGAATGTGCCTTAACTAGCAGGCTGCCCACCCCCATCACACCGACCTAGCCTCCGGGGGTCTCAGCCCTTCCAGATGTGGCCGGGCCCTCGAAGGAGGGTCTCAGTTGTGTCCTCCATACCTTCACCCATAGCCCCAGGCCCAGTTTCTGTCTCTTCACCTCTCACTTCCCCTTTCTCTTTCCTTCTGGGTTCCTCTCCCCAAATCTCCCTTTTCTGTCCGTTCACAGCAGCCCCCTAAAAATGATGCTCCTTCCTCTTCCTGCTCCTTGGGGCTACACCCTCTTACCTGAGATGATGCAGAGGAAGGCGGTGCAATGGGGCCCCGTCTTCCCCAGCGCCCTGGCCCTGCACTGGTGAGCAAGAAGGGCTTGGGGACCACCTGGAGCCGACCGTGGCTGGAGAGCAGAAGGGACGTGTCTGGTGTCACACCACCAGGAGCAGTGTGGTCCCCAGTGCCCTGGGAAGCCCTCTTCCAGCTCCCCAGAGTGCCCAGTCCCCGTCCCCACGTCCTGCTCCCCGGCTCCCTTCTGGCTCCCTCAACGGCCATTGTGTGCCCTCCCCAAGCCCCAGCTCCTGCCTCCTTCAACCCTCCCAGGGAACCCAGCAGAGCCCCTTTTTGAAGGCTTACTCTTGGCAGGGGTGCTTGTGTGTGAATTACACCCAGACACAGAAGCACGGAGGTCTCACTCTTCCAGGCTTCGCCCTCCCTCCACCCCCCGCCTCCCTGACCTCATCTCCCGCCAGCACTGCACCCGGATGCTCCCGGAGCACAGCACCTGCCGTGTTTGAACTCCCTTTCATGGAGGCAGCCCAGTCTCAGCATCTCAGCCGGGCCCGGGATGGAGGGTGGCCGAGGCGGGACACCCACCTCTGACCTGACTTTCCCCCAGGTTGTCATTAACCCCAACTACGAGGTGGCCGAGTCTGACTACACCAACAACATCATGAAGTGCAGGACCCGCTACGACGGCCACCGCATCTGGATGTACAACTGCCACATAGGTGAGGCCCCCGAGACCCCAGACCTCCCAGGGTCCCCACCGCACAGCCCACCGCCAGGAGCCAGGCAGGAGCTGCCCTGCTTTCTCCAGGAACCAGAGCAGCTTTCTAATTTGGGCCAAGACCTCGGGGAAGGGAGCCAGCCTCACGTGTCCACACACAGCAGGGACAGTGTAGACACGAGGCCTGGAGGGAGGTTTCCAGAGCCGGCTCTGGCTGAGGGAGGAGGGTACGGAAACAGACCTCAAAAACTGTGGGCTCCAGCCATTTGTGGGCTTCTTGCTGAGAGCTAGGAGCTGGTCCACCGCGGTGGCTCCCAGTTGCCAACAGAGCAGCTTTTCCTTGCATTACACTACCTGGCTTACAAGAGGAAGGTGAGCTTTCTCTTCTGCAGGAAAAGTGATGGCCTCGCTCTCGGTGAAGATGAAAAGTAAAGGCATTCGACTTAGTCACTCCTTCGCTTGACTCTGATAAGACACCTGACCTGGCCTGGCCCTAGAGATGGCCAGCACCTGTCGCCGCCCTGGTGGCATCACACAGAGGTGGCCCCTGCAGGCCACCTGGGGGAGGATGGTGGCTCCAGCCCTCGCGAGGCCTGAGATCTGGCTTACCTAACTCCATCTCCCCGATGCCCACCCCCCAGGTGGTTCCTTCAGTGAAGAGACGGAAAGAAAGTTTGAGCACTTCAGTGGACTCATAGATAACCAGCTCTCTTCGAGGTAAAGCGGTGACGTGGTCACCTCCTGCCCTCGGGCCGCAGCGCATCTCCCTGGACACCTGCAGCCTGGCCCGATGGCCCTGCTCCCCGTCGCCCAGCCCGGCCCCGCCCGTCTCGACCCCCTGCAGCCACGGCCAAGCGCGGGAGGAAGGCGAGGGTGGCGAGGATGGCGTGTTCTGACCTGCAGCCTGGACAGGCCTCTGGGGTTGGGGCTCGGCCACGGGGCTGTGGGAGCAGCGCCCACCAAGCGCCACCTCGTCCAGGACCCCAGGCGCGGAGGTGGTCGTCGGCTTGTCCCACCCGAACCACAGTCCACTCTGAGTCTGACGCCACCCACGCAGCTCACCACGAATAACCCCATTTCCTCCTCAAGCTACGTGCTGGCAGCGTGAGTTACCAGCCGAGGTGGTCAGGCCGAATCCCGTTCCTCCTCCTCTTAGGTCGTTTCCAGCCAACCTGGCTAGACTTCTCTCCCAGTTAAACAAACCGCCTCTGCTCTGTTCTGTCCTAGTCACGTGTGTAAGTAATGCTGCCACCGTCTTCCGGTTGGGTGAGCTCAGCCCTGGTGCTTCTCCTCCCCCCAGCCCCCCACAGCCCTGTGTCCTTGTTTTTCAAGATACTATTATATTATTTTCACAGACTTTGAAGCACAAAGTAATTTAGTGGCATTTAATATTGGGCATCTGGGCCTTTGAAAGTATAGCTCAAAAGGAAAACCAGCCCACCTGTGTAAGTGACTCATCCCTCTGTCCTTCCAGTTCTGTGGGCAGTTAACTCAGTGGTGCTAGAACCAGGGTCCCGGGTGAGGAGGACACTCACCGATCACCATGTGTCATCGTGGACACTTACACATACTTGAAACTTGGAATAAAAGATTTATGACCTGCATCTGGGTTTCATTTGGGCCTCTGCACCCTGCCGCCGAGCAGCAGGGTTCCTTTCCATAGTGGGCAGTCAGGGCTTCTCGGCCTTACAGGGTCTCTCCTGCAGGGGCGTGGGTCCTCGGGCCCCTCTGGTCCAGCGTGACCACAGGGGGGCCTCCTTAAATCAACCACCAGGAGGAGCAACTCCTGAGAACAGCAGTTTAAGGAGGTGACGAAAATCCACAGAAATACAGGACCTCGCCTTTCTTTGCTCTTGTTTTTTAGTGAAATTTGTCAGGGGCCACAGTAGCTGTGTGAGGACCAGATGGGACCTCAAGACTTAACTCCTGGGGAGGCCTCTCCAAAGGGCAGGGCCTGGGCTGGGCTCTGGGGGAGGAGTGATGACGCAGATGGGGGCCCACACTCTTCCCCGGGGCACAGTGAGGGTGGGCCCGTGCCAGCCGCTGTCCCCCAGCCACCATGTCAGAGCGGACTAGGGCCCAGCACATCCAGGGGTCCACAGTGACCTCAAAGTGCCAGGTAGGGCCACTGGGCACCAACTCCATCCAAACCAAAGACATGAGTGTGCTAGGATCCCATCCCCACAAAGATGCCCTCACACCCGCTCCTGTGAGGGGAGCAAACTCAGCGGGCATTCCTGATTTTGTCTCTTGGCTTGTTCACATTTATTTCTGCAAGGTCCCCTTGTGTAACCCACACCACAAGTAACACTAGGATCCGTCCAAAGTTGTGGCCTCAGCACTGCCAACAGCCCACAGCTGCTCGGGGTGGGGGTGGTGGGGGGACTGGGCAGGTGTCACACAACAGGTGTAATCTCCCCTCCAAAACTAGGCAGCTCTGCACAAAAACGCCTTCGAGACCCAGCAGGACCCCCCAGGCCACTCGGCTGGCACCAACTTCCGCAGTCCCAGGTCAAACGTGGGAGGCGAACAGCACCCCCTGGTGTCCGGCGGTAGGCCACCACATTTTGAAGCCATCATATTATAACAACTCTTACGTTTTTATTTTTCAACTTCTGAACCCAGAGCAAACTAAAGCCCACCACGCCCAGTGATGCTCCAAGGATAGCTCAGGGCTCTTGTGTGTGGCCTGTGGTGTTGGGGTCCCAGCTGAGCTGCGGGGGTGGGGGCGCCGACCAGGCCGGCCCTCTCAGGGCCTCAGGGCAGCGGTTGGCTCTCCATCACAGGCCGCTCTTTCTTTCTGTGTTGGAGCCCCAGGGCCCGGGCCACCAGCCTCCGGGCCACAGCTGTGTTTGTCTGTGGTCTCTCCTTCGCCAGACGCAGGAGCTCTAAAAGGAAAAGCCCCGTGGGGGTGGGGACCTGAATTCAAGGCTATGGCCTCCTCCCAGGGCCACAGTGGCCTCAGAGGCCATTAGAGATGACCTCTGAGGCCCAACTGGACCCCGGTGTGGCCAGATGCTGGTGGGAGGGCCCTCTGTGGGGCCCTGATCTAATCCTGCCACCTCTCTGCACCCACCCTGCTTCTCCCACTGTGGGGGGCAGTGCTAACCTATCCCCCTCCCTGCTTTGGGGGCCCTCTGAGAGGAAAAGCAATTCAGGATGGGACACCTGGAGCTCTTGGATCAACAGACGGGATGTTTTTTGTCCCCAAGAAGTCTGGGACAGACCACGTAATCCACAAGAATGTGGATGGCCTCAGCAGGCTTCTCTGGGGCCAGTATTACCAGCCGCCACTTTGTGGCCATGGAAAACTGGCCTCTGAAAGTCCCCATCGTTCCTTCTGGAAGGAGGAAGGGCAGGGGGAGGAGCCATCATGTGGCACCTTCTCTCTGCCCCTCACCACCGCTGGCCGGTCCGCAGGCCCTTTTTTTCACTCCTCCAGGCTACTCTGCTTATCTCCCAGAGAAATAAGCCAACTTGCAGGCATTAGGTGACTTGCTCAAGGCCAACTCAGGTAAGTGCCAAGGCCAAGATCACACCAAAGCCCAAACATGGTTTGCAGACCCTACAGAAAGACCAAGCTTCTCCCTGAGTCACGCCCGGAGGACGTGTGATTGGAGGCCAAGCCCAGGGCGGAGCAGCCGGCAGGCAGCACTCCTGATGGGGCCCGGGCCCCTGCAGTGGGGCAGGGGGACCCCCGGGCCACTGCAGCCCCGGGGCCCAACAGCAGAGAACCGAAGAGGGTGAAAAGAAGCCCGCCCAGCCACACGCCCACGCAGCCCTCCGTCCACACTGCCGGCTCCCTTACTGGGCCTCTGCAGGGCCTTCAGCTTGGACTGCTTGGTTCCCTGCATGAGGGGCCGGATTTTGAGCGTGGAGAAATCCCTGGTCAGGGCCTCAGCAGCTGTGGAAAGACAACAGACCCAGAGCCATTCCATCTCCCCCCTGCTGAGGCCTCCTCAGGACCCAGGAACACATGTCATCCCAAGGGCGAGGCCACCCCTTCGTACACCCATTCCAAGCTCAGGGCCAGGGCTGCTGCCACTCTGGCGGGGCAAGAGAAGACCTCCATCAGCCCCCTCGTCCCCCAGAGCCCTCAGGCCTGCATGGGGCCATCCGTGCTCTCAGACAGAGAGTCTACACAGAGCCCAGCTTCCGTGCTCCTGCCCTGGGCTGGTCAGGAGCCCACAGGGAGGCTGCAGTTCTGACATCAGGAGAGGCGGGCCCCCACCTTCCAAAGCCCCAGAGCTCAAAACAAACTCCACCCTTCCCCTTCCAAGACCCTGCAAGGGCGTGTGCCCCCCCCTGCCCCCAGTTGTGCTGGGCCACGGAAAACCTGAGCCACTTACAGAGCACGCCAGAGTTGGGAGGGGCTTCAGGTCCAAGCCACTGCACAGATGAGGAAACCAAGGCCAGGACGTGGCCTGCCCATGTCACACAGCTGGATAGAGCCCAGAAGGCAGCTGCCAACGTGCCTGACCCCCTGTTCCTTCCTCCCATACCCCCCACCTCCCTTTCAGTGGCTCCCTCTGGGGTTGAGGCCCCCACCATGCCCCGGACCTCTTCCTCACTAGACACTGGCCCCCGTCCCTAAACTTCAGGCTCTCCTGAGGACGGGGCCCGACCCAGCCACGGTCACTTGCAGCTCTGTGTTGAGAAGCCCATGGTTCTGAGAAGGCCAGGCAGGCAGGGCAGAGGGGTGGCTCCTTATAAATATGCCCAAAGTGAGCAGTGGTGTGGCAGGGGCAGCTCGGAAAAGTGGCCAAGAGGAAGGAGAAGCACCAGAGTGACAGCCAGGGGCTGGCTTGCATCCCCTGCTTTGACATAGAGCGGTTCTGTAACCTTGACCTGACATCCTGGGAACCTCGGTCTCCCCATCTGTAAAACAGAGGTCACCTGACCCACTGCTTGAGGCTGAAAGAAAACAGAATGAGGACTCATCTGCTCGAATCGTACAAAACTGCCAGTATCTGAGTGATTTTCACCTATAAAAACAGCAGAGGAGGGGCCGAGCCCACCACGCAGCCGCCTTACCTGAGGCCAGGCACGGGAAGACTCCGAGCGCATGCGTGTCGTCCACCCACTGGATCCTGAACCCCTTCTCTCTGCGCCGGGGAAGAGAGACAGAGTGGTTACGAGAGCAAAGGGCAAACCCCTTCTGCTACGGGAAGCCCCTTCCACCTCCAACCCTCGGACACTCCACTACGAGCCCAGGACAAGTTCCCGTCTCCTCTGGGAGGGAGACCACCGCCGGCAGCAAACTCTCTGAAGACAATACGTTCAGCTGCACAAAGACAAGCGTCACCCCTGCTGATTGGCTGGGGCCCGAGGCCTGGAACTGAAGGAGCCAGGACTGCAGCCCGGAGCACGCGCCGAGGGCGGAGAGGGCTCCTCACAGGCGCTGTCCCGCCAGGCCGAGGGCATGGGGCCCGGGGCTGGAGACAAAAGCTTTCTATGTGGGGACAGGCCCTAAGAGAAGCGTGTCAATGCAGCTGCCCCGACAGACTGTCCTCCCGCCTCGCAGGAGAGCATCCCTGAGTCCCGGCCCAGTGGCTTCTCTGTGGCACTGCCACGCAGGCCGAGGAAGTCACCGGTGGGTGGCCCCGGCTGGCCCCACCCTCAGGGGTGGAGGGCAGATGAGCCCCTTGTGCCCCACCAAGCTGCCCCTTCAGCCTTCCTCCAGCTCAGGCTCGGAGAGGGCCAGGGAGGTTGTTCCAGGAGTGTTCAGAAAGGGTGCTGGGTAGAAAGGGATGCTTTCAAAGCCTAAGCAGGAAGAGAGAAGGGGGGCTAGAGAAAAGAAGGTGGGCATTTAGAAAAAGAAGAAAGGAGAAAAGATTGGATTTAGATCCAAAAAATTTGGGGAAACAGGAGATGTCTTCCTCTCAATATATCCCCAATCTCCCATCTCTACGCGGACTCTGCCCCAGACCTGCTCAAGGCCAGCTCACCCCAGAAATAGTTCCTGCACAGAGATGGCCCTCAGGGTGGAGGCAGGGGCTGCCTGCATCCTGCATCCTGATGGAGGCCCCCGAGGTGCTGGTGGGCGAGTGGGCTTGCAGGGCGCCAGAGGTCTGCTGCCGTGTGCCAGCAGGACTGGGTCGAGGGCCCCTGGAAAGTGTCTACAACCGAAAAATCGGCTCTCCTTCTTTGTACAGTCATGGCCAGCAGGCCGAACTGCCCAGGACTGTGGAGCCCAGAGCACTTTCTGTCTGTCTTTCTAGATTGCTGGGCACTGGGGGAGAGGCAGGCAAGTGTCCCCCACAACAAAGGGACGTCCCAGCTCCTCTCCAAAGGGTGGGTACCCACCCTCATACCTCCAACTCCCACCCCCTGAAGCCTCTCTGGCACTCACTGGAACTCGGAAAACGCTGCCAGCAGGTCCTCGGTGGTGAGCGCCGGCTCAAAGTCATAGATCTCCACCACGTGGGCAAAGTCCTTCTCTCCAGGCAGCTCCTCTGTGAAGGAGGACGTGTCCACGTGGATCTTCTCTACCTGAATCTCCTTCTCAGTCAGGTTGTCCGTTATCTGAGAAAGATCAGACCCTTTAGTGAGGGAGCTCTGACACACCGCTCCAAACGACTGCTCTCTAAACCACACACCGAGAGTCCTACAGGCTTCTGGGTGGGCAGGGAGGAGAGTGCCCCGCACAGGGGCCTGGGAAAGGTGGCAGGATGGCAGACTGGGCCAGAAGATGGAGAAGCACGAGTTTTGGGGGGAGGGAACTTACTTTGTGGAGTCCCCACTGGGTGACTGGCACTGACACACATTATGTTTCATAGAATCCTGAAAAGTCTATTCTATAGACCTGCTTTACAGATCAGTAAACTAAGTCAAAGGATTATGTCTTCTACCCAAAGCTGCTGTCAGTAAGAGATGGAGCTGGGCAGGTCCAGGATCTTTCCTTCCCTCATTAACGGGGTGATAAAAAGCAAGGCTTTCTGGTCTCCATCCTTCACCTACAAAGTGGTGATACAGGAGGCCCGCCCTCCAACTGACACAGCAGTCAGGCTCAGGGGCGAGCTCCAAGGAAACGAGATTTGTTAAGACAGAGCTTCAGGCAGAAGAGTAATTCTCACGACCTGCATCTGCAGTGCATTACGAAGCATGTGTACATACTTCCTATCTCGTTACCTTGAGAAGACTTAGAAAACAGAAAAGCGTCCCTTTGTTGTGGGGGACACTTGCCTGCCTCTCCCCCAGTCAAATAGCTCCTACATGGTTGAGCTGGGACCCAAATCCACACCCCAGATCCCAGATCCTGAGCCTCCTCCCCTCCCCCAAGTGGGTCCCAATTCCTGTGGGCAAGGCCCTGGTGTCTTTCCCCCACTGACCTAAGGGACCCCATCACCCAACACCCAGCCCTGCTCAGCCGGCACCTCCCCCACCCCTCCACACCATGACCCCTGGCCCCCACCCACCCTCGACTACACCCACCTCACTTCCGCCCTCCCTTTTCCGGGCTTAAGAGCCTCATCACCTCCTGCAGCAGCTCACTGTAATCGTCCTCGGAGCAGCTGCCAGGCCCCTCCTCTTCCACCTCCTCCTCTTCCTCCTCGGCCGCCAGGCTCCTCTCCAGCTCACTCCCATTCCCCTCTTCCAAGTCGGGCTGCAGACCCGGCCCAGGCTGTGTGGCCATCTCTGACCCGTGTCCCGTCCCTGAGTGGCTCTCAGGCCCCAGGGACTCGGCGGCCACTGAGTCCGGCAGCGACTCTTTCTTACAACTTTTGCCTGGGCCTTTTCCGTCCTCTGCTGCCTGAGTCACTGACACAGGAAGTTCCTGATCAGAGCTGGGGTCCCCAGCACCCATATCTCCGGGGTCTTCTGGGGGCCCTCCGGCTGGAGCATCTCCCTGGAGCCCTGAGGGTGTGGGTGGCGCCCGCTCTTGCCTGCGCAGCACGCGGGGCACATACAAAGCCTGGTCCGGCTTGCGTCCGCGGTGCCACCGGCCGGCCCGCGCCCCTCGGGGACCAGCGGCCGCTCCCTGGCTTGAAGCAGGCCGAGGACCTCGGTACTTGCTAGGGTGGGAGGCAGGAGGGCGGCAGGGGCCAGAGAGTCCATCTGAACTGGGTAACCTACAGAGGGAGCAGGCGGTGATCAGAGCAATGTTTGGGCCTTAAGGGAAATGGCTTACTGGAGCGACCTGCCATTCAGGCATGAAGCTCTCAAGTCAGCATTAGGCAAAAACCAAAGCCAAAATGCCCCTCGAAAACATCTTAACAAGGCTGGATGCCTTCCCTGAACAAGCTCAAACCAGGCAGCATTCCCTCTAGTGTTATAAACCGAATTAGAGACAGCTGAGTCTTCGGTTACTCACCAGGTAAGGTAAGTACTTGCATTTGGGAACTATGTTATTAGAAAAATATGTACTTGAAAGGATGGGTTCATAGTCATTATAAGATCCTGCGAGACATACGTGGAAGCAGCTAAGGGAAGGCCCATGTGTGCTCTCACGGTCATGGCCTCTGTGGGGCACAAGCTTGCTGAGAGGAACGCTGAGCAGACACCCTCCCTGCTTAAACTGCTCTCTCTCTCGTGGCCCAGTGTGCACAGCTGCATTTGTTAAGTGAACGCCACAAAAACGCACATCTACTCCACTGCTGGGGCAGAAAGCAGCGCTGACTCTGAGCAACGGAGGCTGGGGATAGAGGTGGTGGCCTGGGGGCTCCCAGCCCTAGTTCCCTCCCAGGGGCTGACCAGCGAACCCAACCACACTGAACTGCTGAAGGGCCTCCAAGGCGGCAGGATACACACCTGATGTCCAGGTGACAGATGACCGTTCTCCTCCTCCAGCCTTCCCCAACAGAGAAGCTGCTCAAAAGATCAAAATTCTCTGCTGTCCTGTGGATCAGGTACCGGAGGCGACTGGAGAGTGGAGGGAAAAGGAGGACCCTGGGGAGCGAAGGGAAGGAGCACTGAGCTGGGGCTCCAGGTGCAGCCCCCAGGCCTGACCCCCACCAGGTCCACCCCCAGTTCAAAGGGGGCTTCAACACTAGGCGCCCTCTGCCCCCTTGGGCCCAGGCTGACTGCAAAGGACCTGGGAATAGCACCTTCTGGTGCTGGGCCCCTTCAGTCTCGGAGTGATGCTCAGAGTTACACAGGAAAGACGCAGCTGGGAGAGGCCTGAGAGCGGATTATTAAACCTAAAGGCCAAGGTCAGAGCCAGTTGCGAACCACTGGATGAAGGGGCACGGTGGCCCTAGCAGAAAGGGCGCGGGCAGCCGAGGCCCCCACCCTCATCCCAGCTTACTTTGACAGCTGCTTCTGCAGCAGGAAGCGGTCCAGCTCCTCCTGGATGCGGTGCACGAAGTCATTCTCGGCCGAGGAGAGGAAGACGCCGTCCAAGCAGAGAAGGGCCAGGGTGACAGGTGGGAGGGCCTGCGGAGCAACAGAAACGGCCGCGATCAGAGCGCAGACCCCGGGCCCACCCACATCCAAGGTCGAGATCTCTCCTCCGTTCAGTGAGGAGCTGGGCTCGGAGGCTGGGGAGGGACGTGCGCAGGGTCCTGGGGAAGGGCAGCAGCCGGTCGGGGTGGGGGGTCTCCCGGCCCCCGCTGCGCCCGCGCCCCGCCGCCTCGGGCCTGCTCCACGGGCACGATCGACCGTCCCCAGCCCCTAAGCAAGAGGCCCGAGGGGAGCGCCAGGCCAGCCGCGAGCGGGGCGACTGGTCCCCA